ATAGATATGAATGTAATGAATATCTATGAACGAAGCATAGCCTGGCTAGAAAGCCAAATAGCATAACAATTATAAAAATCTAACCGAAAAATTCTAGCTGATACCAAAAAAATCTAACGAAATTTTATGCTACTCAGATTCCCATTAAAAAGGGCTATGCGAAGTGAATAGATATGAATGTAATGAATATCTATGAACGAAGCATAGCCTGGCTAGAAAGCCAAATAGCATAACAATTATAAAATCTAACCGAAATCTAACCGAAAATTCCAACTGATATCTATTTCCGCATATCAGAAACAGGCTCTAAAGCATTTCCAGAAAAAAATTGTCCTTGGATAAAAATGGCTCAGATCAAGTTCCTGATATGCACCTAAATCTAACCAAAATCTAACCGAAAAATTCTTTTTCCGCATATCAGAAACCATCTCTAAAGCATTTCCCTGAAAAAATTGTCCTTGGATAAAAACGGCTCAGAGCAAGTTCCAGATAAACAAAATATATGTATTAGTGTGTAATCCATGATAGTATTGAGCAACATAAAACCCTCGGATATGTAAAGGGTAACGGCCAGAAACAGAGACAGTAGGCTTACTGCACTCGGAGCATGGAAAACGTTTTTTGGCTTTATAGTGTAAATGACATCCTGCAGGCTTCATACAAGATTTTCCGCAAATGGCACCAGAATTATGTAGATAGGAGCAGGTATAAGCACCATGCATTTTTTTGAATATAGAAATAATTATTTAAAAAAAGATTTCTAACGTTTAATTAATTTTTATTATATTTTAATAAATAAATACATAAATTTTTCGAAAAAAAAAAAGTTGCGCATGAAATTTTAAAAATCCTTGCATTTTCCCATCCCTAACCATTACTATGATTTTCTTATGGATAAAAAGACAACTTTTTCAATTATGGTTGTAATGTGATTTAAATATAAAATTTGTTTTGTTGAAAAAAAAATTTCACTGAAACGATGTTTGTTGAAATGAGGGTTTGAAAAATAGTCAAATTTTAAACTGACAGTTTATAAATTTTATTTGGAACACAAAAATGCAAGTCATAAAGGAAAAGAATTTGTTTATTTAACAAAATCATCAAAAATGTCATCCTTAGATAATATAAATTTATTATTTAACAACCTTATTACTTTCGACAAGAATGCTTTACCGTTAAAGTATATTAATAAACTTTTAAATGATTTAACAACATTGTTGAATGAAGCACACTATTATGATGTTGAAATTAAAATCGGAGAGGGTCAACATGTTAAAACTTTTAAAGCCCATTCCACCATTTTAAAAGCAAGATCCTCTTATTTTAATGCAGCCTTTTTTAATAGTTGGACAAAAAAATCTAAAGATGGTGTTATTTTATTCGAAAAAAAAAATATTTCTCCAAAAGTATTTGAAGTTATTTTAACGTAAGAATTGTTTAACTTGTTATTTAATCAATCATAGTAACTTAAAAATCTAAAAAAATAATATTTTTTTGTTTTTATTTTTAAAAGGTATATTTACAATGGAATCATTAATACAGATAGTTTAAATACAATTGAAGTTGTTGAACTTCTTGAAGCATGTGATGAATTAAATATTCATGAATTAATCGAGGATTTACAAAATCACTTGATTTTCAAAAAAAAAGAGTCAATCAAGCGAAACTTAGTTCGCATTCACAAAATTTCATCACATCATCAATTGTTCAATTTACTTCAAGACTATTGCAACAAATTAATTAATGAAAATCCAGAATCATTTTTAAGATCTAATGATTTTAAAGAGATTGAAAAACCTATGCTTATGACTATATTGGAAAATGATAATTTAGAATTTAAAGAAATTGATATTTGGGATTTAGTTATACGATGGGGAATAGGTCAAGATGAAGAAGAATTGGGAAAAAGTATATCCACATGGAATAAAGATGATTTCATCAAGTTGAAAAGCATTATAGAAGATATTCTTCCATTAATACGATTTAATCAAATTTCATCAAATGATTTTTATCTAAAAATCAAACCTTATAAAAAAATATTTGTCAAAGAAATATATGAAGAACTTCTTCAATATCATATTACTGATAATTATCAACCCAGATTTATAATTCAAAAAGGTCCAAGAACAGGGATTGGAAAATTATTAAATTCAGATATAAAATGTTTAATTTCTGGATGGATTAGTGGAATTTATAACAAAAATAATGCTTTTCATGATTTTAAATTAATTCTTTGTGGATCTCGACATGGATTTTCTAGATCTGTCTTTGAAAATAAATGCTATAATATTGGACAAACTGTGGTTATAATGAAGATAAAAGGAACCGGTGAATTAGTTGGTGGCTATAATCCTACTTGTTGGAATATAAAAGAACAGCCTCCAAATGTTGCTTATTTTATTAAAACTGATAAAAGTTTTATTTTTAAAATTGATGAAAATAAAATAAATAATCCAATAATAAGTATAGCCAAGAATCCTGAACATGCAATATGGCATAGCAAACAAAATGTTGATATTACTGCAGATAATATAAAATTTAAAGAAATCCCCATGAGTTTTATAGACTTGGCACTATTTAACTGTATTAATAACAAATCTTATTGTTATTATAGTCATAGTTCTTATAAATTGAATTTGAATCTTCAAAATAATAACACATTTCGTTTAATAGAGGAATTTGAGGTGTACAGGTTAATCCATTCTAGCGAAGGAGTCAAAAAATGCATTGAATATCTAAAAAATTTAGCTCAATAATTAGATAAAAAAGATCTAATAATGATATTATTTATTTGAAAAAACGGTTATTTCTTCAAGTTCTTTTAGCATAGGAATTATAGAACAAATTAATCACTAATTATCGGATGTGGAAATTTTCAATTGAAAATTACAATAAAATAAAACTTTAATAGAATTATTTAAAATAAAATCAACCGCTAATAAACCTTGGTAAAGGTCAACAATTGTAGTTAAAGCTCCAAACGGTTCGTTTCGGTTTACATTCGACCCAAGAATTTCAGACATCCTAAATTTGTTAACTACACAAAAAAAAATATAACTTCACAAAAAAAAAAAATAAAACTTGTAGCCTGGTTTTGGAGAGTGTGTGTTATGAAATAGAGATGCTGGAAGGGTCATGTTCTAAATACATACATACCATGGTAGCGAAGGTCCATTCCTTACCAAAATTGGAGTGGAGACCATGATCTTTATCAATCTAAACTATTATTATATCGATTTTCTATTAGATAAATAATTACATTTATAAATTTAATTACCCATGATTGTATATTATAGAGTTGATTCTCTTTTTTTATTTGGAAACAAAGTTAATTAGTATAAAAACCGTATTAATAAATTGTT